TAAGCTCATACTATCAGGCATAACCTAAACAGGCTACCCTACTGCTGTCTACTCAATTCTAGCATGCAATATTCAATAAGCTGTAACAAATAAACAGGCACATAAGGCATCACTCCTAGATCCTTAGCCTATTCTAGCATGCAATATTCATAAAGCTGATAAACATAACATAAACTTGTATGGGTACTATGGGGAATACTTACTTGAGCTCGGCCGGTCGCGCACGTCACACACTTTACTCTTTCTCGTGACTCTTTTCCGGGTTTTAAAGAACAATTTCTTTTGGAAAAATCTTTCAATCCCTCGATTTGAGTCCAAACACTCCCGAAGGCGTGTCCGAATCCCTCAAACCAGGGCTCTGATACCAACTTGTAACGACCCAATTTTTACGTCCGAAAATTTCATTTTTAAGATATTACTTTAGAAAACATTAATAAATAAAAACATTGTTTAAATAAAACATTGTTTGTTCACACCATAACACATTGCAACCATGTTCTCAAAAGCCAAACCGTACATCCCATCAAAATATCAGAGTACAATCCCAGTAAATCTCATAAATGCGGAAACCGAAGAGTGTGTGTATGACGTGCCGCTACCGCGCCGGCTCCTTCCCCTTCGATGCAGAGGTACCTGAAAACAAAACTGTAAACGTAAGCACAAAGCTTAGTGAGTTCCCCCAACGTACCGCATACCATACAAACACATAACATATATACTGCCAGGCTATTCTGGGGTGCCTGACTACCCGGTACGGCCATTCTGGGGTGCCGACCTACCCATACGGCCATTCTGGGGTGCCGTCTTACCCGTGTCAAGCCATTCTGGGGTGCTGACTACCCATCGGTCCTAACAACCGATCCTCGGGGACTATTTCACCCCTACTACTACGATCACATATAACATAACAAGCCAGCATGCATACATATCATCACATACTGTCAGACGTATCTGGGGTGTCTGACTACCCTTCGGTCCGAACAACCAAACTCTACTACTATCACATACAGCATATCATGCTAGCATATAACATGTCAGGTAATAGCGAACTTAGATGATATCACAAAGACAATCATCTATCATACACTCCTACTGGTGGGTCGGCATTGTGGCCTTAGACCCACCGCTACTGGAAGGTAACTCACCTCAAAGTAGCTGCTGAACTGATCGGGAACTAACTGGCTGCTGCTGCTCCGGGAGTCCTCCGGCTGCAATTTCCACGACATACTCAATCAAACACTGCTAACTGTCCTTTAGGTAAAATGACCATTTTACCCCTGGATTAGCTCTAAGCCAAAGCTGGAGTCAACTTTCAGTTGACCCGACTCGCCGAGTGGATCACCACTCGCCGAGTCCCTAGCAAACCGATGTCCTGGGTCCCTGGTTCTACTCGTCGAGTCGGGCTATGAATCGACGAGTTCACCTTCTAACTGTCATTCAACACCTTCGTCCTACTCGCCGAGTTGTATAAACAACTCGTCGAGTTCATCTTCATCCGATGAACACTTTATGCTAAGACTCGCCGAGTTGTATGAACAACTCGCCGAGTCTGTTCTTGAGCTATGAAGATTGCCTTGGACTCGCCGAGTCAGGGCATTGACTCGCCGAGTCCTAACATGGGTGAGTTCAGCTCCCAACTCACCGAGTCACCCCCTGTGACTCAAGGCACAACTCGATACATGAAGAAGGGACCAAATCGGTGACTCGCGACCAGACTCGCCGAGTCACCTATGCGACTCGCCGAGTCGTCGCCATGCACTCCTTAAATATACCGATTTGCTCGGTTCCAGTCCATGCCATTCATAGATCTGGACTTCTAGGACACGAATCACACGTAAAGTTTCCAACTTTACGTGTGGATATTCACCAATATGGATTATAAGGCTCAAAATGTCTCAAAAGGGTAGATCTAGGGCTAACAAGCCTCATGGGGCCAAAAAGCTAACAGATCTGAGCTCCTGGAGCTCAATCTTGCATAGATCCAAAGGCCAAACGCCTTATTACGACATATAATGAACATGCAAACTTGGGGAATTGACCAAGAAGGACCCAAATGAAGTTTTAAGCATAGAATCAAGGGGAAAACGGGTTATACCTCAAAGGAAATGTTGAAATGACACAAGGATGGCTGATCTCCTTCTCCTCTTCTTGATCTACTCCTCTTACTCTTCAAAACCTTCAAGAACACACCAAGAACACCTCAAACTCTCAAGGAAACAAGGGAAAACGATGTAGGGGGAGTTCTGGGGGTGAATGGGGACGAGTTGGGGCGGAATGAGAGTTTAAATAGGGTGCAAACCCTTGAAACTTAGGGTTTCATCCCGCAGCGGTGACTCGCCGAGTCCAGGATATGGACTCGTCGAGTCGCCTACTTAAAACGTGTCCTGAGTCTCGTCCCTACTCGGCGAGTCGGACCCTATGACTCGCCGAGTCTAAGGCTAAATTAGGGCAATGCTCAAATAAAATTCACATACCGGAAAGCAGGTGCTACAGACATGGCATCCAGCCAGTCAGGGGCGTGCACACTGTCCTTTAAGGACTTCAGGGGATGTGGTGCGCCAAACTTCCACGGGGTGAAAGATCCCATACCTGCCAGGAGATGGATTGTAGACACGGAGTCTGCTCAATTGATTAGCTTTTGCCCTGAGGGGTTGAAGGTCTGATACGCTGCAGGATGTTTGAGGGATCGGGCTAGGGATTGGTGCGAGTCAGTTGGTGACTCACTGGGAGCCTCCGTCATCGAGGCTATGACCTGGTCTGACTTTGTGACCAGGTTTAGGGTTGAGTTCGCGCCAACTGTGGAGCTCCAATAGTTGGCCAGAGAGTTCTTGGATATGAGACAGACGACTGAGTCGGTGGTAGAAACTACCGCCAAGTTCAGGGAGAGGGAATTACTGGTGCCTCAATATGCGGGGGATGAGGAGATTTAGAATACCCGCTACCATGACATGTTAAGGGATGACATCCGGAAGCATGTCAGCTACTCGGCATGCCCGACTTTAGATGATATGATTGCAAGGGAGAGGGAGAGGGAGATTGACATTGAGAACCTCCAGAAGAGGAAGGTAGAGACTAAGCAGGTTATGGGAGTTTCAGGGAAGAAATCCAAGGGATTCGACGCTGTTTCTAAGGGAAAGCAGGGTCAGGGCCGCTGTCGGAAATGCGAAAAGTCACATGAGGGCCCCTTACAAGACAGGGGGATCAGGCTGCTACAAATGCGGCAAGTTTAGGCATTTTAGCAGGGATTGTACCGCCCTTACCCCCACTATTTAGACATCAAAGTTATTGTGTTTCCACTGCAACCAGCGAGGCCATAAAAGGCCAATTGCCTGTGATTGGCAGCAACAGTAGCGCCAGTGGCGACGCCAACAACAGCGACCCTGTGGATTACCGATGGCCGGTAGGGCAAGTCAGAGGCTCCAGTTGTGAGAACCCGAGCCTTCCACCTGACTACCGCGGAGGCACGTGCCACACCCGTTGTGGTGACATGTATGATTTCTTCTCCCTAGCTCTTATTTTATGTTGCTTATGATATTTATGTATATGTTTATGTGCTGCTTAGGATCGTTCCATGTGAACGGTATCCCGGTTTAGGTGTTGTTCGATTCGGGGGCTACTCGATCATTTGTCTCGCTTACCCTTAGCAAGAGGTTCCCTGAGTCTTCGGGCATGTTGGATTGCCCTCTAGAGATCGAGATTGCGGACGACCGATCAGTTCAAGCATCAGAGGTTTTTCGAGATTGTGTTTAGAGGCTGTTCGAGGAGCGCTACCTAGTAGACTTGGTTCCCATACCATTACGTGGGAACAAAGTCATCATTGGTATGGACTAGTTGAGCCCTAATGGGTTAGTGATCGACTACGCACAACAATTGGTTTGGGTAAGGACCCCAAGTGGGGGAGAGCTGGTGATTCAGGGTAAGAGACCACAGCGTGAGCCAACTTTATACTCAGTAGCGAGGGTTAGGCGCTACATTCAACAGGGTTGCACCGTATATGTTGCCTGTGTCATGGATACCCAAGAGGAGGGTAAGGCGATCGTGAGTGATGTGCCAGTGGTGTGAGAGTACCCGGACGTATTTCTAGAGGATTTACTAAGAATACCTCTGACGATCGACCTAGTCCCGGGGGCGGCTCCGATAACCAAGGTCCCGTATCGGTTGGCTCCTCCCGAGATGTAGGAGTTGTCTACACAGCTACAGGAGCTGTTAGACAAGGGATTCATCAGACCAAGCAGTTCACCCTAGGGAGCCCCGATCCTATTTGTAAAGACGAAGTACGGGTCGCATCAGATGTGAATAGACTACCGGGAGCTGAATAAGGTAACAGTGAAGAACCATTACCCAATCCCGAGGACTGATGATCTTTTCGACCAGCTTCAGGGGGCATATTGGTTTTCCAAGATAGACATGTGGTCTGGCTACCATCAGATGAGGGTTAGAGATGAGGATGTACATAAAACTGCTTTCTGGACTCGCTATGGCCACAACGAGTTCGTGGTGATGCCCTTCGGGCTCATTAACGCTCCTGCCGCGTTCATGGACCTCATGAACCGCCTATGCAAACAGATGCTGAATCGGTCTGTGATAGTTTTCATTGACGAAATCTTGGTTTACTCCAATACACAGGAGCAACATGAGGAGCACTTGTGGGTGGTGATGGATACCCTGAGGAGGGATAACTTGTATGCCAAGTTCTCCAAGTGCGAGTTTTGGTTGCACGAGGTGCAGTGTCTTGGGCACTGTAACACCCCGATTATTTTGTAATAAATAGACAAGGTTAAATAAACTAAATAAATAAATGAACCCCGAGATGAGAAATATATTTTATATTATTTTGTTCAAGCCCTAAATCCAAAGTAATTGATGGATGTTAGTTATGGGAGTTAATTGTAGTAAATCTTGGAGTGTTGGGGGTTTAGTGTAAATTTTGGAGCCACTTTGTAAAGATTTCCGAGGGCAAGGGCTAAAATGTAAGTTTTTGGAGTTAAATTGAAATCAAAATGGTGAGGAGGGGCTGAAGTTTGATTTTTGGATTGAAGTTTGGATGGACACGGGTTTAGACCCGGTACCACCCTTCCCTCTTGTCACCCTTTTGAGCAGTGGCCATATTTAAGCAATGCAAACCCAATTCAAACCCTAGCCCTAAATGATACTCTCCAGCCGGCAACCTCTAAGCACCGATCGCCCTTTCCCTTACCCTACTTCAACTTGCAGCGCCGCCAGTGGGGACGTCGGGTGCATCGGAGGATCACCGTAGCTGCCGGAAACGATGTCAAGGGTAGGTTGCTGACTCTCTCAGACGTCCTTCTCCCCCCTTTTCGTTTGGTTCACGTTAGGGTGGCTGCTTCAGCCTATAACCGCCGCTGTAACGCTGGGATTGCAGTGTTACCGTCAAACGCCACCACCTCTACCCCTTTTCTCTCCATGATGATGGATGTTGATGTTGCTATTAACAAAGACCGAGCAGGGACCATCTTTGGCCGTTGTTGCTGTTGCTGCTCACCCGCCGAGACTGCTAACCCTAGTCGCCACCCTCGTTGACGAAGACCGTTGAAGAAGATAGGTTGGTGCCGCCGTTAACTTTTCTGTCAAGAATGATGAAGGGTTGCCGGTGGGTGTCTATTTTCGTGTGTATGTGTTTACTGTAGTGTGTGTGTAGCTGTATTATTTTGTTAGAGTGTTTTTGCTTGGCCAGAAATAGTCGTTGCTGCCTCAAGCCACTGCCGGCCACACACTAGGGTGACGGTGTGTGTGTGATTAATTCAGTTTAGTGTGTGTATGTGTGGTTAATCGGGTTTTGGCATTGTAACTGTAGTTAGCTTTGATTAATGAAAATGAAATAATAACCACCACCGTGAGCCGCCATTGACCACCACTACCCGAGGCGGTAGTGGGTGGTGTCCCGCTAGCAAACCTTAATGGGCTTAGAGATTGGTTTTGGGCCTATTAGGCCATGTTTGGGTGGAAGACCCTAATTATGAGTATTTGGGCCTTGGACTTATTGGACCCACTTTTGGGCCATTGGGATTGGATTGTGAACTAAGCCCAAATTATTCCATGCCATTTATCTAGTAGAGTAAAGGACTTGATGAACTAAATCCTTAATGAGCTAATTGAGAAAATATTAATATTTGGGAATTTATCAGGACACACGAGAATTATTTAATAAGTGAAATCTTAAATAATAATCATTGGCAGAAATTAATCTAAGCAATAATGGACTTAATGGATTAAGTCCCTAGTGGGTTAAGTAAGAAACACTTAACCCTAGTTATCATTTGATGTGAAACCCTAATTTCACTTGGGCTTTGTGTTGGGCCATCCGAGAATAATCAAATGGACTAGAGTAATTAGTTGGGCTTTAGGGTAAGGCCCATATGAAGGATTGGGTCCAATTTGGAAAATTGGGCCATAGATGGGCCATAGTTGGGGCCTAGATGGTTGTATGGTATTGGGCCCTAGAATGATACATGTTGGACCGGACTGATCAATTGGGCCATATGTTGGACTTTGATCCCTAGTTGACTTTGGGCCTATGGATTGGGCCTTGGGCTTGGGTAAGCCAAGCTAGGGGTAATGTAGTAATTACCCAAAGCATGTATTTTTAGTTATGTGTTAGAACCCAATTATTAATTGGGTGTTATTTGGTGTTGACAGTTCGGGAATCTGTCAACCAGCAGCTGGGGTGGAGTCTGCGGTACTTCAGCAGTGTGGGATTGTGTCTGCGGGACTTCAGCAGTGTGAGGTGAGTTTCCTTCCAGTAGGAATGGGTCTAAGGCTACAATGCCGGCCCGTTTAGTAGCAGTAGTTTCCGGACTTTGGTCCGATGCAGTTGTTAGTTTGTGTGATGCCTTCGTGGCTCAGACAGGATTTATGTGTTAAGTGTTATGGGCTACGGCCTGACGTAGTATGCAGTATATGAGTTTATGATCATGTGTGTTATGCTATTTGATATGTGTTTTTGCTATGCTATGCTATGCCCAGTCATTTCCGGATTTCGGTCCGATGCAGTTAGTTTCGGACTTCGGTCCGATGCAGGGGACAAGGTCCCAGTCAGTTCTGGACTTCGGTCCGATGAGTTAGTTCCGGACTTCGGTCCGATGCCGAGGACAAGGTACCAGTCAGTTCCGGACTTCGGTCCGATGCAGTTAGTTCCGGACTTCGGTCCGATGCAGGGGACAAGGTCCCAGTCAGTTCCGGACTTCGGTCCGATGTAGTTTCCGGGCTTCAGCCCAATGCAGTGGGCGAGGCCCAATATGTGTTTATATGTTATTGTATGGTATGTGGTAGTTTGGGGGAGCTCACTAATATTCGTGCTTACAATTTCAGTTTTGGTTTCAGGTACTTAGTTTTCAAAAGAGGAGCTCGGGAAGATTGCAGTGCACACACCATTTGTTCAGCCTGGGATGCTTATACTCTGATATATTTGACAGTTGTTATAATATTTTGAGATACATTGCTTATGATTTCTACATGAGCTTTATTGACTATGGTTTTATCATTAAATTAAATGAAATTTTCACACTGTGTTTTTGGGATGTTACAAGTTGGTATCAGAGCCTTGGTTTGAGGGATTTGGGCACACTTTCGGGTGTATCTGAACTCAAACTAAGGAAGTGGTATAAAGTTTTCAAGAGAAAAACCATGTATAGAAAAAGATTTTGAGAAAAGAAAACAATTTTAGAAAAGGTATAAGGAAAAGAGTTTTAGAAAAAGCGAAAAGAATTTTAAAAAGAGAAAAGGGTGTGGTGCATGCAATCTGCCGAGCTCAAGTAAGTACTCCCAAATTACCCATACAAGATTATGGTATGTATATCAGTTCCAGTTTCAGTAGAACAACATGCTAGAATAGGACTAAGGATCTAGGAGGATGCCTTATGTGTCTGCTATATGTGTTTCGGCTTTATGAGAATTGCATGCTAGTATTGAGTAGATAGCAGTAGGATAGCCTGATTAGGTTATACCTAATATTATGAGCTTAGCATTGTATACTAGTACAGTTTCTTGTTATGAGGATAGAGTTGCTTGAGTAGTCTCTTGTGTCTGAATGCTGCTTGCTTTGTGCTTTGTGGGACTCAGAGTGATGGGAGTTAGCCATTAGGTGAATACATCACATCGCATGTGATCAGGGTTGAATAATCTCAGAGTGCTAGATTTGGCCCTATTATGCAGCTCTTGTTTGAGTCTAACCGTTGTAGGGACGAGTCTTTTACTCGAAGGATTATCTGAGCCTCGTCACATGTGATGGTATTCGGGTGATGGCTAATTGGCATTACAAGGAGGCCTTCAGCAGCTGAGGACTGGATTGGTTGAGTCAGATATTTCCCTAGGGCAAGCCTAGGATGAGAGTAGCAGAGATCAGTAGCAGTAGAGTGACTTGGTGGTGTCGAGGCAGCTCTTTAGGAAAGTACGGATAGATGTGGAAGGTAGTATGGGCCCGTACTACTGAAAGCAGAGGATCCGTACTCGAATCAAGGCAGGCTAAGATGAATCCAAGGAACTCGTAGTGTGTGAGATCCCTCGAGCTTGGATGAGTATTGTAATGTTAGTGATGACGTGTTGCCGAGTATAGTGACGCTAAGTGGTAGACCAGATGGTAGTTCCGGTGTCGACGAGGGTTCAGGCTCGGACTCTAGAGCCGGGCAGATTGATGATCAGATGAGGGAGTTCATTCCAACTTAGAATTACGCGCAGTATCATTGACCAGACTCTTGTGATCCTCAGTGTGATCAAGGAGGGCATTATAGAGATTTGTGATGAGAGGCTGAGTGCATTATGCACTGAGATAACAGTCATGATAGAGACCGATACATTGATGTTTCGGGAAATTCAGAGTTTGTGAGGCTTCAGATTGTCATAGGGGTTAGGGATCCCATTGTTAGTAGCAGATGGTTGGCAGATGTCACCAACGCTTTTCGTACCAGACGTTGTCTCAAAAGGAGATTAGATCTGACTTACTTCCTATCTCCAGCGGGGTAGAGCACGAGATTGATAGGAAGAAGTTGGTCGTGAGTTGAGTGATGATGCGGTTAATGCTATGTCATGAGATGACTTTTAGACCAAATTCTGGACAGAGTGTGCCAAGGCGATTGAGGCGCAACCGTTGGCGCAAGAGTTGTTAGATCTCCACCAGACGACTGACACTGTGGCAGAGATCACTGCCAAATCTCGGGAAAGAGCTTATATGGTACCACAGTATGCAACAGATGAGGAATTTAATAAGGTAAGTTATCAGAACATATTGTAGAATGATAGCGAGGAGATCGTGAGTATCTCGGGGTGCAAGACCCTGAATGATATGGATTCTAGAGCTTGAGTTTGGGATATAGACTTGGAGCACATTGGTAGGAGGGAACCAAATCAGTTTCTTATAGTGAGGGGTCTCGGGAGGAGATCGTAGATTTCAGATTAGCTTTCGAGAGACCAGCAGGACCCGATTCGGTGCAGCACTTGCAAGAAACTACACAAGGGAGCCTTTCATTCCATCGGTTGAGTAAGTGTAACCCTGAGTTAACCTCAGTTTATGTCTGAATTATATTTTTTAAAAGAGATGTCATATGTCAATTGCATACCGAGAAGCATTAGCGAGTAGTGATAGACCAATTCCCCAGATTACGGGATTGGGAAGTACAACGTCATCTTGGTTTATTCCAAGACTAAGGAGCAGCACGAGAAGCACCTGAGGGAGGTGCTAGAGACTTTGAGGAGGGAGAGAATTTTCGCAAGGTTCTCCAATTGTGAGTTCTGATTGCACGGGGTGCAATTTCTTGGGCACCTTGTCAATCAGAAGGATATTCTTTTCGATCCGGCCAAGATAGAGGTTGTGATGCAGTAGGAGATTCTGAGGTCTCCAATTGAGATTCGGAGCTTCCTGGGTCTAGCAGGTTAGTACCGGAGATTTATTCGGGTTTTTGGAGGTGGTGTGATCCTTTGGACTGACTAGTGTTGAAACACTAGCAATGGTAAGTGTGGTTTCTCGCAGATTGGTCATGGGTGGTGAGAAGGATTGGGAATTCTTCCAGTTTTGTGTGCTGTAGGGAATTGGCTAAATCAAAGTGGGGGAGAATCGCCCAAGGATTCAGAAGTGGGAGCAGTTTTGAGACTAGGATAAGTTTCGCATCTTTATTGGGAAGGAAGATAGCCCAAGCGGTTGTATGGTTTGAGGATAATGTGAGATGGAAGTTCGAAAAAGTTTTCCAATAAAGAGATCGCGTTCCCGTGATGTTACTAGCAAGCCTTAGGGAATCAGGTTTGGGATTCCAGTCAGGACATGAGTTCAGTTGAGTGTAGGTCAAGTGCGTGTCGATCCAGTATGTAGAGTGTTGTAAGTCTGCGGGTGTAGCCATAGCATTCACTAGCAACCAGATAGTGATAGAGTGTTGTAAGTATGTGGGTGTAGCCGTAGCATTCACTAGGTTGGTAGTTAGCATGAGTGTGTTGATAAGACGTGGAAAGAACAGTAGTACCCTCCAGTTCGGGTTTAGCAGTGAGGATATGGAAATCCATGGATTGGATTTCGGAATTACCCAGACAGATTAGAC